AAAAATAATCAAATCGACCAATCATTCCACAATTTGTTAAATGTTATATATGGATGAAAAAATAAAATACATTTTCAAACGTAGTCTAGCACAAACATATTGAGAGACAAATTAAAATAGAAAAATGAATATACCTACCCCCCCCCCCCAAAAAAAAAAACCAAAACGACTGGAACTAAATAACTAGAAAAAATGATCAATAACATATAGAGAGCTAACTCCACACTGCCTAAATTTTAGGTGGTCGATGAACTCCCTAGCCTTATTGATGTCCGTCAGAGCCTCACCCAACTCGCAAAGCAGGACGTACGAAAAAACGCTGCTGTTGCTGCTGCCGCCGCTACTTTCTCTGGCGGAAATGACGTTGTTGTTAAGGTTGCTGTTGTTGCTGCTGCTGTTGTTGTAGAGATTTTTGTTGCTGAAGCTGGTGTTGTTAGAGTGTCGTTGTTGGTAGAAACTGTTTTCCAGCGTTAAAGTCGTAGAAGTCGTCGGAGTAGTTGAAGGGTGAACGCAGTTCTGTGAAGTGGTGGTTGTGGCGGTGGCTGCCGACGCTGTTGACGTTGTTGGTGGCCAGTTTGTGAAGCCATCTCCACAAAATCCACTCGTACGACCCCCGCCTGGACCTGGATCATTATCATAATCATCCGCATCGTCGCCGTCGTGTTGTTTAAAATTTCGTTGCTGGTCCTTCGTGTCGCGAAATGTTTTTGGCGATTTGTTGGACCTGGTGGTGGTAGAGACGGTCGGCCCGGCGCTCCACAAGTGGCTGGTGGCTGTGTTGTGGCTGCTGGCTGTGTTGTGGCTGCTGGCTGTGTTGTGGCTGCTGGCTGTGTTGTGGCTGCTGGCTGTGTTGTGGCTGCTGTTGTTTAAGTATCGCTTGTTGCGGTCGCCGTTGTAGCTTGAAAATTTGTTAACTTCGTTCGAAACGACAGCGTTCCCGACGCCGAAGTTGCCGCTGCTGAAACCACCGATCTTATGAAAAGTTATCCGCTCGAGTTTCAAGCAGGTTGGAATGTTTTCAACAATGTAGTCGGCACCGCTCCAATAGCTCCACGACTTGTCCAGGTTGTCGAGGGAGCCTCCTGAGGTCATGAAAGCGCTCAGGATGTAGGCCGTGTTCGGGTTGGAGGGTCGTTTCGGTAGCAGTGAGACGTCCCGCCGCACGAACGTGTGAAGTTCTTTGTAGCAGCCTGTGTGTAGGTGTGTGTGTGTAGGTGTGTGTATCTGTGTGTCTGTGTGTGGGAGTGAGTGAGTGAGTGAGTGAGTGAGTGAGTGAGTGAGTGAGTGAGTGAGTGAGTGAGTGAGTGAGTGAGTGAGTGAGTGACGTGTGCGAGTTTGCATGTGTACCCACCACCGGGTTAATAGAAACGTCTAGAAAATAAATTTCTTTGAAATCAAAAGTCTTAAGAATTTAATGAGATGTCATTGGTGGAGTTTTTTTTCTGTGTTTTTTTTGTATTTTTTCTGTTTTTCTCATCTCGAAACGATGCAAGATTGTCTAAAATAGATAACGTCTGTTCAAAATGTAAAACAACATTCACATTACCAACATGTGTGTGCGTGTGCGCGCGCGTGTGCGTGCGTGCGATTGTGTGTGTGATTGTGTGTGTGTGTGCGTGTGTTTGTGTGAGCGTGTTTGGGCTTCTGTTGAATGCAGTAACATTACAAATAACATATTAATAAAAAGACTAATATATGTTGAGATATTGATAACTTTTAACAACAGTGCAGATAGAAAAATATTTCATAAATTAATACCCACCACAACAGACCATGACGCTATGCCTTCTACTAAATTAAAACAAAACGCAACCACACCAACTACACGCTACAAAAACGCGACGAAAGCAGCCACTCCTACCTCCACATTTTAGAAAGTTGTAGCCAGGATCATTAGCCTTCACACCAGAATAAGCAGCAGCAGTAGCAGATGTGTTCGTCTCTTTAACCATTTCATAAGATCTTCTCCTACTACCACCACCACCACCACTACTACTACATCCAAATTTGTCGACAGCTGTAGTCGTTGTAGCTGCTGCTGGAGTGGATGTGGCCGTTGTGGTGGCTGAGAACTGCCACTGAGGTGTCGATGAAGTTGTTGAATGTCGTTGTGGTTGTTGTTGTTGCTGCTGCTGATGTTGTTGTTGTTGTTGTTGCTTGTTGGTGTCTTTGCATACGATGTAATGAACGTATGGGAAACGAGCTGGAAATAAATTTGTTGTTGTTGTTGTTGTTGATGTTGTTGTTGTTGTATTTTGTTGTATGTGTAGATGTATATGTGTGCATGTGCGTGTGTGTGTCTTTATGTATGTATGTATGTGTGTATGTGTGCGTGCGTATGTGTGTACATATGTATAGATAGGTGGTGGAAAATTACGTTGATAAAATGTATTAATAAAATGCTAGAATACTTAAGGGTTTACGAGTATGTATGTATGTTTGTTTGTTTGCTTGTATGTTTGTATGTTTGTTTGTTTGTTTGTTTGTTCAAAGAATCTATAAAAAATGAATGAATGTGTGAACGAACGAACGAATGAATGTACGAGTGAATAATTATAAATGAAAAAATCAATGCAATCACATCTCCAATACATCCTACACCCACTCTTTCTTCACTTCCTTCTTTTCTTTCTTTCCCTCTCTTTTAACTCTCTCACTCTCTCGTTTTCTCTCTCTCTCTCTCTCTCTCATCATCAGAAATTATGCATCATGTTATCATCATAACCATTATCATAATTTATGTCACCAAGTTATCATTATCATAATTTATGTCACCAAGTTATCATTATCATAATTTATGTCATGATCATTTTGTCTGAATGGTTGTTGTTGTTGTGATGGCGATTTAGTTGTCACTACCAAAGCACCAATAGGCGTGTTGTTGTGCAATAAGCAACAGAGTTACAGTTTATCTATCACTGCAACGACAACAACAACAACAACAACGTCGTCGTCATCATACGCAACTACAACATCATTATTATCATCATCATCATCAACATCATCATTATCAAGAACAGCCATTAGAGTTTATGAATTATTAAAGAGACACGCATTCCGCAAAGATAAGTCTCTATGCGTGTACTTCATCATCATCATCTTCATCATCATCGTCTTCGTCATCATAAACAATTCAACATTTTCTTTATAGACGAAAACCGCAATGTTAAAAACATTACTGCCATCTCGACATCAACAACAACATCAACACCAACAACATCAACGGCACAATAACAACAACATCAACAACAACAACAACATCAACAACATCAACACAGCTCCGCATAGGCAGTTGCTTCTCCAAGCAGTTCGCCTAATGAAGACACACATATATATGTATGTACATATGCGTAAATACGTATGTACGTTCGTACACTTGTATGTATGTATGACATATTTGTATACATTTTATATGCACTGATGAACGAATGTACACTTTTTAATACATTTGTACATATATACCTTTGGTACCTTTAAATGCATCTACATGTTATTTAATTGACAAATTTATTTGGAGGATAACACATTTCCATTGGTAAAATATGGAGCTCTCTATTAAGTCGTCTCTCTCTTTCTCTCTCTCGCTCTCTCTCTCTCTCTCTTTATATATATATATATATATATATATATATATATATATTATGCAAATGCAGATGATGATTGTTGAGATGTAGAAAGATGATGATGTTATTGATGTTGATGCCTTCTCCTCATTAAATATTCTCATCTGCATATAAATGAGCTACATATATGTTGAGAGAGAGAGAGAGAGAGAGAGAGAGAGAGAAGGAGAGAGAGAAAAAAAATAAATGTAAAAAGGAGAAGGATAAATGCCTATTCTATCTTTCTATCTCTCTTTGGGATTGTCAATTTTTTATTTATCTTTTCATCTATCTTTCTCTCTCTCTCTTTCTCTGTGTGTGTGTGTGTATGTGTGTTGTGTGTGTTGCAAATGCTAATGTTATTATAGAGCAAAAAATATGTTTATGCTGGTTGGCTGGCTGGTTGGTCTTTTGATGAAAATTTTTACGCTTGGCAATATCGAATAATTTTTTTTAGCTGTCATCGTTGTTGTTGTTGTGTTTGCCTGGAAATTATTATTAATATTTTGTTGTTATTATTATTTTGTTAATTATTATTTGATTTTTATTATTTTTCATATCGTCAGACTCTGCAAGAGTATTTTTTCATAAATTATTGTCACTTTTTTCGTTAAACTAAACGAAAATAAAAAAACTTTTTATTTATTTCTTTCTCTCTCTCTCTCTCTCTCTCTCTTTTCTTATCTTTCTCTCTCTCTTTTCCTCTCTATTTATCTCTTTTTTTTCTCAATTTTTTTTCCCATTTTTCTAGCACGTACTCAGAAGCACAGGCGTTTCATTGCAGCGTAACTACCATTCACGTCAATGTGTGTTTACTATGAAATCGCGTTTATACACCGCTTCTATTCATTCAATGATTTGTTCATTCATTCATTCGTTTATTCATTCATTCGTTTGTTCATTCATTCATTCATTCGTTCGTTCATTCATTCATTCATTCATTCATTCATTCATTCATTCATTCATTCATTCATTCATTCATTCATTCATTCATTCATTCATTCATTCATTCATTCATTCATTCATTCATTCATTCATTCATTCATTCATTCATTCATTCAGTCATCCATTCATTCATCCATCCATCTATTTGAATTAAACCCACGTTTGCAATCCACGCTCCTCAGTAATACACCTTCCAAAAAATCCTCACTAAGCTGCATTTTTCTAATACTTTCCCAGTAGGGGTCGTAGTAGGGGCACTCCAGGGTTCTCCCTCCCTCCTCAACAGGTAAAACATTTTGCGGGTTGTCCGTGAAAAAGTCGAATACGATTAACAGATCGGGATATTGTTGTTGCTGTTGTTGCTGCTGCTGCTGTTGCTGATTTTGTTGCGCTAGATGGGGTGAATGGCGATGTTGTTGTTGTTGATGTTGGTGCTGTTGTTGAACGTTTTGCCGATATTGAGAGTAATTTTGTTGTTGTTGTTGATGATGTTGTTGTTGATGTTGATGCATTTCTGGATCCGGAGAATAATCCCGTAGTCGTTGTCTCTGATGAAACGTTATCGTTGGAGAAAATTGTCGTTGTTGTTGTTGTTGATGTTTTTGATGTTGTTGTTGTTGATGTTTTTGTTGCTGCAACGTTGACAACAAGGGCGAATGTTGCCGCTGTTGTTGCTGCTGCGGTTTCACTCGTTGTTGTTGCTGGTAGTAGTTTGAATGGTGTTGAGGTAGAGATGAATATTTGTGTTGTTGTTGTAGTTGATGTTGTTGTAGTTGATGTTGTAGTTGATGTTGTTGTTGTTGTTGTTGTTGATGTTCGTCATAAGATGAACGTTGTGGTTTAATTCGGTTAAAAGTGACCAAAGTTGTAGCAGTAGTCGTTGTTGTGTTAGGCGAATTAGAATACAGCTGCTGATGTTGTTGTTGATGATGTAAATGTTTTTGTTGTTGATGTTGCTGTTGGGTTTTAGGCGAATTACCCTTCAAACGCTCGTCAACAAAATTGTGTTGTTGTTGTTTATGACGGTTCGATCTGCTGTATACAGCTCTATTACTCTCGGCTTCATCATCTTCCTCCTCCTCCTCCTCCTCCTCATCATCATCTCTCGGAGTGTAATAATAAGAATACTGCTGCTGTCTAGTTTGTTGTTGTTGATGTGGCTGTTGCAGTTGTTGTTGCTGCTGATGATGGTAATAATTGTTGTTGTTGTTGTTGTTATAATTACTGTTTTGTTGTTGTTGTTGGCTGTTGTTGCTGTAATGGTTGCTGAGGGATTGAGTTTGAGGCGATTTAGTTCGTTCCATTGTTGGCCTGTGTGTGTTTGTTTGTGTGCGTGTGTGTACGTATGTGTGTGTGCGATCGCATGTGTGTGTGTGTGTGTGTTCGTATTTGTGTGCACGTGCGTGTGTGAGTGCGTCTGTTAAAAATAATAGCCACGAAAGATATTAATGAAAGCGAAAAGCAAAAATAACCAAAAGTACATAAAAAATACGAAGAAAAACTTTTGACAAGATGAAAGTCCTCATCTAAAAAGTATCTTCTTTTTTGCCGGAAGAAAGTAACTATTACTATATCCGCAGAAGAAAAAAAGTAAGTAAGATGCTCTATTCGCTAAGTTTAGCATTTTCTTAACAAAAAAAAAAATTAACACACAAACAAACACACACTCATACGTATATACATATAGTGTAATATTTATAAGAATATAAATGCATAACGGTAATAAATAATTTAACGATCATATGATGATAATGGTGGTAGTAATAATAATAATAATGATGATGATGATGACGACGACGATGATGATGTTGATGATGGTAATGACGTCACAATGACGTCATTTCCTAACGAGTGCCAATCCTATAGAACGATAAACGACGTTCACAATCTTCACTCCTAAGATATAATTGAATAATTGTCACATGCATTGATTAGCTTCCCGCCGGGTCGAAAACTCAGATCCTCTGCCAAAGGAAACTCGTTGTTCCTAGGTTCAGGACAGAAAATTATGGACGGCGTCGTTTCTCCGTGGCTGCAGCGGAAGTTTGGAATAAACTGCCCGATGATGTCGTTGATAGTATGGATGAAAGAGACATGTTCCGAAAACGACTTAAACATCACTTTTTTGACCGGCAGCTTCTCGAACAGCGTCTCTGAGTTTTACATAGAGGGGCGCTATATAAATTCTCCATACCATACCATACCATACCATTAATATTTTTATCATTGCTTGTACGCATTTTTACTACTACTATTATTATTATTATTTTTATTATTGCTTGTAAAATCAGGATAGAGTTGATGAGAATGAAGAGTGATGTGGCCCAAAAAAAATTTTAATTTTGCCAGTCTGTCAGTCCCAAGATGATGAGGTCAAGGTTGGAGTACGGAATGGTTTTCAGTTATTAATGGAAGACGTAGATAAATATAAATGCGAAGACGATCGTGACGACATCTTTTAAATTTTTAAAAATTTCAACATCTCTAATATAATAATGATAATAATGTAATAAACAAATAAATGAATAAATAAATGAATAAATGAATAAATAATGATAATAAAATTCATAATGATGACGAAGATGAGGATGATGATTTGAATGATGAAAAATTAAATTGAAAAACGAAAGCAAATTCTCTACCTTTCTCTCTATCTATATATAAATTATAACAGAATAACTCCGCGTTTTTTGGCAGAATTTTGTTAAATTTTTATTTATTCATTCATTTTTTAATGTATTTATTTACTTGATTTTATAAATTATTTTAAACATTAAAACCAAAATTATGAATTGTTTGTAGTAATAATTATTTCATTATTACCATTCTAAAATTGATATGCACCCTACCGACGCTAACCTGTTTCAAAACCTTACATAATACAAAATATACCACTATATATTATAATAATTATTATAATTATTATATGTATAAATAAGTATATCTACGATTCAATTATTATTTATATTATTACTATTACAACTATAATTTCTTAATTACTATTATTATTATATATTATGAATATATGAATGTATATATTTATAGTTTCATCATCTTAACGATGATGGTACTACCAATATATACATATGGGGAAATAGTCATCCATATATGTGCACGTACATACATACATATAAGCATACATAAATATGTACACATACATACACAGATATATACACACATACATACACTATATATACCCATGTACAATAATATCTACAAATGTACAAGCGTTGATAAACATTTAATTGCGTACAATTTTAAGTGTATATATGTGTGCGCGCGTGTGTGTGTGCGTGTGTGCGTGCGCATGTGTGTACATGTATATTGTACAGATATATGAAAAGATACAATAATAGAACGTAGCAGAAATTGATAAGCATACAAAATATATTACATATACATTAGCGTATACCGATGTATACAATTATACATATAGACACACGTACATACACATACACGTACATACACACGTATAATTATACCACTTGTATATAAAAGTGTATGAAATTTTGTATTCCATTGTGTTTCAGCAACTGACAATTAAGATGGCAAATTTATATGCATACAGCTTGAGCATACATACAGTGCATTAGCGGAGGAGATGGGTACTGGTTGGCCAGAGATGTTAGTGTACGTTCGTATGTGTCTGTATGTGTGTACATCGTATGTTTCTGTATGTGTGAGTACATGATTGTGGTTGTATTCGTTTAAATGTTGTTTGCTTGTTTGTGCACAAGGATATAGATTTTTAAGCTTATCAATCGATCTATCATTAGATTATAGAAAATTATGCCTTCATGTAAGAAGTTTTTCATTTTTCACTTTATACCATTACTGAAATGAAACAAAAACTGAGATGTTCTTTACATTCAAAAAAGTTAGACAGAAAGCATTCTTTTAATATAGGAGCTCGATTAACGTTAATGCAATTTCCGCCAGATCTAAATCGACTTTTCTTGCAATTGAACCCGGTTCAGCTGACTGATTGACTACTAAATAGTCTGCGCATTTGTGGAACCTTCTTTTCATTTCTTAAATGTATGACTGTTTCAATTGAAAAAAAAAACACAAAAGTTAAAAAAATCTTCGGCTTTTAGACTAACACATTTGCATTTGTTGTTCTTCTATTTTTCCCTTTTCCTCCGTTATTCAGTTTTTTGTTGCTTTCTTGCGTGGCGTCCTGATTAAAATTTTGGATTTTATTTGAGGCATTTGTACTACACGCAGTGCGACTCTCCTGACATCATCTGAATGACGACGTTCTATAGCTATGCAAGTGTGGCAAACGTTTTTTACCATTTTTTTCTTTGTAAAAATAAATTAGAAAATGAAGTGAAAGTGAAGAAAAAAGATTGAAAATGTTATAAAAATTTTTTTTATTTTTTCTCGTATCTTTTTTCCTATTAATAATTCATTTTTCAATTTTCTGCTTTTCCTTTGATGTATTTTCGACTTTTTTTAAACTAATTTGTGGAAGAATCGTTTGAATCTATAACGAATAATTTTTTTATGAAATAATGTTAGTAATTTTGCAGCAAAAGAACTTAGATTCAAGTTTGTTTTTTATATATTTCTTGTACTTTCTTTATAATTGTTTCAAAAATGTTATGAACAACGTAGTTAGAAATTATATAAGGAAGAAGAAAAATAACCTAAGTGCTTCTGTGAGTGTATGTATGTGCTGATAGATTTGGATATATGTTTGTTGGTATGTATGTACGTACGTATGTATGTACGTACGTATGTATGTATGTATGTATGTATGTATGTATGTATGTATGTATGTATGTATGTATGTATGTGTGTGTGTGTATGTGTGTGTGTGTGTGTGTGTGTGTGTATGTATGTGTGTATGTATGTATGTATGTATGTATGTATGTATGTATGTATGTATGTATGTATGTGTGTGTGTGTGTGTGTGTGTGTGTGTGTGTGTGTGTGTGTGTGTGTGTGTGTGTGTGTGTGTGTGTATGTATGTATGTATGTATGTATGTATGTATGTATGTATGTATGTATGTATGTATGTATGTATGTATGTATGTATGTATGTGTATGTATGTATGAGTGTGTCCGTGTATATACGTATGTATATAGTGAATCAGCAGGCCACTGAATAAAGAATTTAATTCAATAAAAATAATTTATTGGTTGTTGTAAGCACTCCTTTCTGCATTCATGCACGCATGCATTGATGCATTCATGCATATTATTCATTCTTCATTATCCCAATGGTCTCATTTCTAATATTTTAAACTAAAAATGACCCTAGATATCCTTGAGAGAGTGAGAGAGAGAGAGAGAGAGAGGAATAAAGAAAGTAAGAAAGAAAGAAAGAAAGAAAGAAAGAAAGAAAGTAAGAAAGAAAGAAAGAAAGAGAGTGAGAAAAGGAAAGATAAGAAAAAGAAATTTAGAGATGGAAAAAAAGAATATAAAGATAGAGATGAATAGAATGAAAGGGGAAAAGGACTTTAATATTGACAAAAAAGTAAAAAAATCCTTTCATGAGAGCTTGATGGGAAAAAGAGAGTACGAAAAAAGAAAGAAACCAACCCTGGGAGAGAGAAAAAGAGAGTAGAAGAGCTCGACTGGGACCTATCACTAGCTGGTCAGATGAATTGAAGGGTTAGAATTGCAAAAATTTAAATATGAACCTATTCTTATTTCGATCTTTGTTATTGTTTCTTTCATGCTATCTCAAAGGGTTTTTTAAGTTTGGTAATCTTGTTTAATTTCTCGTCTTAACTTTCAAATTAGGAAATATTTGCTCGAAAAGTTAGTTTTTTGGGTTTTTTTTCATAAACTGTCGTTTGGTCTGACCGATTGTGAAAATTTTTTCTTACTGGTTCGCGCCTCTGTTTTAAATTTTTCTTTTAAATTCCATTTTAATTTTCACTTTTGTTTGGTGATCTAGATAAAATGGCGAACAGTTAGCTTATTAATCAGTCACTCATGATTCTCATCATCATTGATTTATCAATGGCGTCTTTGCTTTATTCAATAAACCAATAAATTCAATTTATGAAACTTAGGTAATTAATCATCATTTTCAATTTGAAAATGATTTTGTTTGCAATTTGTTAGCTGGGGGCTTCTTAATTTTTTTAAATTTCATTTGAATTTTATTCTTAGAATTGCCAACCTGTAGTCTAATTTCCACACTCAAATTTTTTAAAATTTACAAAAGTGCATTAAATAAAATGATAAATATGTTTCTTTGATATATTCAAAATAATAAATAAAATATATTAGACTTTAAAACTTAATTTTGTGGAAGTCATATACTACTTTTTTGTCTTCTAATCAGACTACTAATTAGTGTCACTAATGTTAAGTAGAATATTTATTATTTAGCATGTAGTGTATTACTTAGATGTGTAATTATATGCATATATATAATATATATATATATGTTGGTATATATATATATGTTGGTATATATATATATATATATATATATATATATATATATATATATATATATATATATGTCTTTATAATATAATTATAATATGATGATTATATATACATTTAATTTACATTACATTTTAAAAATTCACCAACAGTTTTTAAAAGTTCTCAAAAAATTGAAAATTTATTGAAGGTATTTCAAAATCAAAGAGCTCATACAGATAGACATCAAAGTATTATTTTATTTATTTATTCCACTATTGTAGGTATGTTTTCTAATCTGATAAACCATTTTCAGGATTAGGAGGTACAGAGTAAACAGTAAGTGAAGCCTCTTCTAAAAATAGATGGCGACAGGAGGTGGGGGTGACGACCTAACTCCTAATTACAACCCGGATGCTGATTTTGTGCCCCCTATAACCCCAAGAATGATTGTTAGACCGGACACAGAAGCTGAGATAAGACCTGACACAGAAGAAAATGTTGTCAATCAGACGGATGGAATATTTAGGAGTTTTGTCACAAATATGTATGTTCATGATAGGCTATCTAGCACTGCTGACGAGTCACCGAGGTTCGGAGAGTTGATGCTCGGGGCCCCAGAGAATCCTTTGTCGTATGTTTTTAAGTTTTTTTCTTATTTATTGTTTTTGGTAGTCTAGTTTTAATGAAGTTTAAAATTTCATTTTTTTTTTCATAGTTCTTCATATGTTATAACAACAAATATATTTTTTCATGTCACATGCAATATTTAAATGAAAAATTAAAATCTAAAATTTTTTTGTACAAAAAAGTAGCAAGAAATAATTTATAGATTCTCAAAAATTTTTAGTAGATGATTTATTTATTCTTTGCCCTCACCTAAAAATAGTCGAGCCTCTGAGATAGGCAGAAGGCTGGCTCAGATTGGAGATACAGTCAACGAAAGGTATTCATCTGAGTTCAACGAAATGATTAAGATGCTTAATCCAACTCCCGAAACTGCCTTTGAAGCTTTCTCCAATGTTGCTGAGAGGTTGGTTGCTCGGTTGGCTGGTTGGTTAACATGAATTGTTGATTGATCCATTTATTTATTTATAAATTTGAATCAGTTTTCAAACAGTTTCTATTAAATTTAACTTGAATTAATTGTTGAATGGCTCGTAATTTGCCTTCCTCATTGCAGACTTTTCCGAGATGGAACAATTCACTGGGGGCGCGTGCTGACACTTCTCTGCTTTGGTTATCGACTCGCTGTGGCCGTACTGAGCAGAGGGATTCGCGGATTCTTCATAAAAATCATCGAGTACCTCATCAAGTACATCACCATCAGTAAGATTGCTCAGTGGATTGCTAATCAGGGCGGATGGGTCAGTTCGTTTTTGATTGGCTGTCGTGTTGGGGTGTGGGTTACTAGGGTTGTGTTGATTGACTGGCTGGTTCGTTGATTGGTTGGCTGGCTGGCTGATTGACAGTTTATGTTTTTATATATAATAATTTTTTATTTTTGGTTTTATTTCAAATTTTTTATTCAATTATGTCTTCTTTCATCATTTTCTCAACCATCATTTATTCACGAGTCGGCTGGAGTGTCTTGCTATATTTATTCTTTCATCCAAGATCACATGAAAACATTTCATTCATCTTTCACTCCCTCAGATGTAGGATTCTCACTCTTAGAACTCCATTCATTTTATTATTTACATCAATAATTATTAGTAATTTATTTTCATAATTTTTTTTTTCTTCCAGAGGGCAGTGTTGAATTTAGTCCCGGACAGCATTGGCTGGCGTGGCGTTGGTGTTGTTGTAACTTTTGCCGTGGTTACTTTGGCTACCGTCTTCTACATCGGCAGAAAGATGTGATTGTGTGTGCCTGTGTGTGCGTGCCTGTGCGTGTGTGTGAGTGTATGTGTGTGTGGGTGTTTTATTTAGGAGGAAGAAAAGTGATGTTATGATGTCTGGTTGTGTTAGTGTTATGATGATTCGATTCGAGAGATTTTAATCATTAGAGGTTGCTTTCTTTTCCTTAAGTATATTTATTTTATTTTATTTTTTTGTGATTTGCATGTGGTGTGGATTAACTATTATTTTTAAATTTCTAGCGAGTGGTTCTAGTTTAGAATCATTTGGTGGTGTTTTATTTATTTACAGTTCAATTGTTTACACGATTGGTTGGTTAATTAGTTGAATGATTGGTTGGTTGATTAGTTGGTTAGTTGACTAATTAATACAGATTAGTTGATTGATTCATAATTTTATTGAGGATAATGATGACAAGGAATGTAATAATGATGATGATGATGTTAAGAATGATATAAAAATTGACGATGACAATGATGAATACTTATAAAATTGTTCGCTATCTTCAGGTCTAACAATATGATATCATTTTGTATCCCTCATGTTCCTAATATAATTATATTAATAATTATATTGATAATTATATTAATAATTGTAATAATAATTATTTGTTTATATTTTCTTATTTTTTAGGCATTTATTTGATTAAACTATACAGTGTTATGTAAGTATGCACGTATAAATATATCCTATATATATACTTATATCTGTGTATGTATGTTTATTCAAGTTTAATGCACATCTATGTATTCTGTTCTCATGCTTTGTTAAAATGCAAAATGTTATATGGTTTTTTTACCTTTGCTTGTCAGAGTTCGTGTTTTGTTTGTATGTTTGTCTATATGTTTGTTGTTTGTATGTAAATTGTTTGTTTAGTGTTTGTATATTTGTTTTGCTTATTAGTGGATTTTCCCTGCTAAAAAAAAGAAACGAATTTTTTATTTGACATCTTTTAATTTCTGTTTCGCTACATTCATATAACTTTTATTTCATATTTAATTCTATATTAAAATTTCTCTGATGTATTCAGTCCATCCCTATTTGGTGTGCATTTAGGTAATATACACACACACACAACAAACAAAATTACACACAAGCATAGCCACGTCCAAAACTACACACACACACACACACAACCTTACTTTCACATCCAAATATACACATATGATATTATTCTCAGTGATTTTTGTGCTCAAAATTGTTTATAAAAACGTCATGTTTTATGTATGTATGTATGTATGTATGTTATTAAGTATGTATACTAGTATATTTGTGTGTATGTGTTTGTTTGTTTGTCTGTCTGTCTGCATGTTATACTCTATTTTGTTCGTTTGATGCCATTTAATATTGGTGCCTATATTATTTTATGTTTTTCTAGCATTTCTACCAATGTTTGTTTGTTTGCTTGTTTGTGTGTAGTTTTATATGTGTGTATGTTTGTACGTACGTGCGCGCGTGTGTGTGTATGTTTGTATGTAGGTGTGTTGCTTTTACGTTGTATTCTCATCATTTAAAGTTGTTTCCTTTGTCATAGGGAATATGAATGAGATTATTATTATCATCTACACAAAACCAATATTAATAATAATTGTCATTATCTTTGATGTAATTGTTGTTATTCATGTTGTCGTCCCTTGTCGTCGTAAATGTTTTATTATTGAGACACGTCACTATCACAATTTCAAAGTGTAATGGTGATGTTAATGATGATTTTGGTGTATTTTTGCGAGCCTATATGCAATTATTGTTAAGTATTTAGTTACTATATAATACATGTATATTATTTACACACACACACATCAAATTGTTATGTATTTTATTTTATTACCATTACTGTTATTGCTATTATTAAGCCAGAAGTAAGTGTGAGCTTAGGATGTTTCGCATGGTTCCATTATTGATTTTTCAGTTTTTAAAACTAATTAATTAATTAATTTACCAATTAATTAATTGATTGATTAATTAATTGAAAGTTAATATGTAATCATGTATGCACAGTGCACGATGTATTTGCGCCTGCCTGTTCAATTGAGACTGACGGATGAATTGATGATTAACTAAAATGTAATCACACTTTGTAATGTAATCACCTTCTTCTTCTTCATCGTCATCACCTTTATTATCTTCACCACCAACAACAACATCGCCACTGTCGTCACTACCACGGCTACCGTTATTGTTATTATTTATTCTGTATATATTTCATATAACTCTCTCTTTCTATATATATATATATATATATATATATGTATGTATATATATATATATATATATGTTGGTAATAGACCATAATTTTTACAATATTCTATAAATTCTACCGAAGGTTTGGCGTTAATATGTTTGTAGTTCGTTGTAAGGAGCACTGATGATGATTCATTCGGAATCGAAATACGGCCTCATTTGCAGCATGAATTCGAAAAAAAAGTTTATTTTGAATTTTAATAAACTAAACGTTCACCAAAAAACTTTAGTGAGAAAAATCGAAAAAACGAACTACAAACACATTAACGCCAAACATTCGGTAGAATTTATAGAATATTGTATAAATAAATATATATATATATAAGGATTATATCTTGATTTCAGTGGAATTTATTATCGTTATTCACATTTTTAACATTATTTTGTAATTAAATATACTATTTACTAAATATATATGTAAATAAAGTTTAAATATATATATTTAAAGTTGAAAAATCTCATTTTTATAAATTCGGTGTTTGATATACCATTGGTTTCATGACCGTGTCTAATATGTTTGTGAATCAGAATGACACTTTTTGGCAGAGAACGTCTGATGGAGGAAAGCTTGAAATGACGTAATCCGAAGTTATTTCCTTTTGAATGGGTGGCGGTAATGGTGATAACAACTGAGAATTAAACTAAACAGACTGACTCGTTTTAACACGTAAATCGTTTAAATTACTATTAAAGATAATCTTGAAGATGAAAATGATGATGAAAACCATTTTGATGAAACTTATTTCGCCCAAATTTTAAAATCCTGGGTTAGGGGAAAATTTTCTAATTTTTCTCTCTCTCTGTTTCTCTCTCATTTTCTGTTAGTTGAAATTACAAAAATGTCATTTGATGTAACAAGTTTTTATTTATTTACTAAATATAACGTAATAATTTGTAAACAAATTACAGAAGCATCATAAATTGAACAGTCATGTTTAATAATCTGATATATTCATAGTTATCGTCATTATGTATGTATTGTTGATAACGCATTAGGAAATATAGTACACTCACTGAGACACACACACACATACACACAGACACACTTACAGACAGACGTACACATTCAGACACACACAAGGTGAAGAAGACAGTGATGATCATTGTCTTCTGAGATTCTCCAGTCTAGCCTCTAGATCGGCGTCTGCGTCTGAAACGCCAGCTGCTACAGCGCTCGGTTGCTGCTTAGTGACTGCGCCTACCTTGCTGCTAGGAGCTGAGAGATCTGTGATTGGTCAGTTGTCATAACGATGAAGATAATGATGATGGCGATGTAGTCATACCATGTACACCAAGTATAAATGTACATTCATACCAAAACATGACCATCATTATTGTAATAATCACGGAGATTAAAAATTTCAACTGCATAATAAGTTAGGGGCGGAACGAACATACCTGATAGCTGGTCAGCCATCTGTAAGCCAAGTTCATCGAGTACTTGCGTAACTATGGCCTCACTAGATGAGTCATTAGGAAATTGATTATTACAATGATGATTATGACCGTGATTAAGGCAGTGATTATGGTGATTAAGGAGATTAGGATGATAAAAATGAAGATAAATGTAAAAGATGCCTCATTGCCATCATCATCATCATCAAGATGACAAATTCATTCATTCATTTACACATCCACTCACCTCTCTTCTTCATCGTCATCCTCTCCGAGGGCGTCATCAATGACGTCATTCATCATCTCCTCCTTCATGTCCATGATCTCCGATTGTTTCTCGAACTCCTGCATTATCTGCTGGATCTGGGGCAGCTTCATCTGAGAATTGGAGAAAAAGAGAGACATTGGAATGATGACGTCGATGAAGATAATGATGACGATGAAGATGAGGATGGTGATGACGATGAAGATGAGGATGGTGATGACGATGAAGATGATGAAAATGACAAAAACTGATGATATAGATGGCTATGAAACTTAATTACATTATCATCACATCAAGTCACCATCATTTGACCTCTGACCTGACCTGTTTGTTCATGGTTGCCATGGCCTTTGTGACCCCTTTCATGGCTGAGGCCATTGCATCGTTTGATTTCAGGGTTTGAATCTTTAAAGAAACTGCCTAAATTGGAAGAAAAAAATTGAAAAATACTATTTCATATAAAATTAAATGCTTAATTATTATTTTACACAATTTTTCAAAATGGCTCCTTATCATTTATGAAAAAATAATTTTCAGACATTGTACATGTAAGACATAAAGTATCAAAATAAACAAAAATGACATACAAACGTGTGCCCAAACTCACAGGCACATCCCTATCTCACTAATTTATGACAGACATAAATCATAGTTGTGTGTTAGTAAAACGACAAACCTGTATGTTAGCTCTCATCAAAATAAACTTTTTGACATATCGACGCGTACGAACCAAATCTCTTGCTAGGATTTTAACTGCATCCTGTAATAATCGGTGAAAATGGCAAAAAATAATAAATAAATGAAAATTTCTAGCTGGTTTAATAATCAAATGTCAAATAATTAGAATTAATTTTAAAAATTATTAATTTTTTCTATGATAAATAAACTTTTAAAAAATATTAAAAAAATCACCATCTGTCCTTGTTTGGCCATTTTTTTTATATCAATGATGATTTTCTTTTCCTGGTTTTCCATACTTTGTCTCTCCCTGTCAATGTCCCTCATGGCTTTGTTCAGGGCCCTCTGGCTCTGTCTCAGCATTTCTTGGGGAGTCTTCTTTCTACCGAATATCCAAGACATTTTTTTGTTCTGATGTTTTTGCTGTTTACACTACAGTGGCTTAAATGAAGTTGAGACACTGTTTGAGCAAGAAAAAAGTAGAAGCATTTATTTATTTTAAAATTAAAAATATTTAAAATTAAATTAAAATTGTGATTTATAAAATAATTTAACAAAGAGCTATCGTGATTTAATACTAAAATACTGAAAAACATCACATAAATTTCACCTTTAACTTTGTAGAATTTGTTTTCAGTGTTTTTTCCAACTTGTAAGTTCCTCCTCTGTAAAAAAACAGCCGACAAAGGAAATAATTTTTGAACTTGAATAGCGAAAGTTAGTGAAAGAAAGTTTTCGTCCGATTTTGTGAAAACTAAACGAAAAAAAATAAATAGTGCTGAGAAAATTTACTTCATTTATTTACATTGTTTATCAAATGTCTATTAATGTTTCTGGAATGATGAAAAGTTAACCTAGGCATTAAAAACTCAAAGGCGCCATCTATTACGAAACAAAGTAGAACTTATCTAAAAATACAATTGTTTAAACAAACACAGATTAAACTTTTGACCCTATTAAGATTAGAGCCGCACAAATAATTTGAAATATTATATTGAGAAAACACATAAATTAATAGACCAACGGCTAATCACGAGAAAAATATTTCTGAAGACATGAGAATATAAATCAAACATGAATGTTTCTTTGACGTTTGTAAAGAATTGAACCATAAAACATAATTACTATTCCAATGTCATATATATATATATATATATATATACCCTACATATACATGTATACATACATTATGTACATTTATAAGTTCACAAACAACTAATGAACATTACAATTGGTAAAAAATACAATTGGTAGAAAAAGAATATACGTTGAAAACCGATTATGACAGTACTGTTCTTATACACATATTATATTACATTTCTTAGATTCTTTCATATTGTTCAAGATTGATAATGTAAAAAAATGTAGAAAAAATATCAGTTATAATAATAATAAATAATAATAATAATATTAACAATTATAACATAAATAAAAATAAATACTAGAGACTTATAATTAGCCAATAATATTGACGGTTGCAACAAAAAATCAATAAATTTATTACGATAAATTTTTAAAAATACTGCACACACACAAAAAAAAACCATAAATAAACATCACTTTAACAAAAGAGAAAATCAAATTCACCTAGAAAAATCTCGAAAAATTTTTGAAAAATTGAAAGCAAAAGACCACAAGTGAAACCATTTGCACGAGACAAAGAAATTTTGAAAAGTGAACAGATTGTGACAAATGTTTGTGTTGTAATATCTCATTAGAAGTAACAAAAAAAAAACACTAGGAACATCGCTATGGCAACAAGTGAGGGCCCCAAAAAAAGATTATAAATCATCTAAGATCATTCTTGACACAGGCCTTGAAGTTATCCCATCTTGTTACTGACATGTGCTGCACGTGGTTGGAAAAACAAATTTGAAAAAAAAAATGGAATGAATGAGTAAATAAACAAATGAAAGAATATAAAAATTAATGGTCATCATCATTCCCTTCCTCCTCATCATCTTCATCCTCCTCCTCCTAATCATCTTCATCATCATCGCCGTCCTGGTCCCAACCTTGGAGCCTCTATGCATTCTTTCCTTCATGACGGAGATGAACTCCTTGTGGGACAGCCTGCCATCTCCATCCACATCAAACAGCTGGAAGACTACGTGGATCATGTGACTGTTCAGGGTTTGACCTGTGCATGCCTTAACCGCCCTGGCGAAATCAGCTGGTAGTGAGGGTGGTGATGATTGGGACGATGGTGAATAATAATCATTTCATTAATATTATTTAACTAGTTAGAAATTTTTTGTTTAGCTAATTTGGCGAGAGTGTCATTGAATTGTAAAAATGTACGCTATAAAAATATATACACAAACAACCAAACAAACAAGCATACAAACCAACAACCAAACAATCAAACATACAAACAAGCATACAAACCAACAATCAAACATACAAACAAGCATACAAACCAACAATCAAACATACACAAACACAAAAACCTTCAGAAATAGGATGATCGGCGTAAGTAAAAATACGCATGGCCAGTGAGAAATCATCAATACTATTGAGGAACTGTGAGAACTCTTTGAAATCTTTGAATTTTATGCCCTATAAAATTATTTCATTCATTTCAGTCACTTTAACAAACTCAACTCTATTCGATATCCATTAAACACACGTACACAAAAACCCTAGACACACACTTACAGACACAAAAACCCACACACACGCACACACGCAAACGCACGCACACACATACACGACCAACTTGTGAATGTTCGATTCTGTTTCTAAGTCTGTTGAGATACTTGTCATGCTCCTCTTTCGTTAATTTCGTGTACCTTAGCAGTATCTGAGCAAATTCGATTTCACTTATAGTCGATAGGCCACTGGAGAACTCAGCGAACTCTAGTTCCAGTACTTCCGTCTGCAGGTTGTCCATGAATCTGTGTGTGTGTGTGTGTGTGTGTGAGTGGTGAGTTGGATTGAATAGTACAATCCCTTGTGTGTGTGTGTGTGTGTGTGTTTGAGTGTGTGCGCGCCTGAATATGCGCATGTGTGATGAAAAGGTAGATTTGTTAAGTTAAGTAGATATACATGCACATACTTGTACACACACGCACAACACACACACGCACTACACATCTACATACAAATAAACGAAGATAGCAAATTAAACACAAGAGAAATACCTATGAAAATCTTTATAGTTCATGTAATCTTTCCCTTTGGGGCCAAAAAAATGAACAGTGAGGGTCGTCTCCGTTATAGGTTCTATGTAGTGACCCTTTTGCGTAAAAAGTGAATTTAGATTTCGTGAAAATCAATTATGAAATATGATATTAATATTTTTTTTCACTAGCTGGCGTTTTAGAAAATCTTCAAATTTATTTTCGTTAAAAAATTTGGTTATATATTATTAAAATTGCTATAAATGTTATATATATATTGGTTTGAGATTTTGGAATTTTGAAAAAAGGTTTTAGTGGAATGGAAAAATGAAATAAAAAATGAGTAAAAAAGATAAACAGACAGATAGATAGATAGATAGATAGATAGATAGATAGATAGATAGATAGATAGATAGATAGATAGATAGATAGATAGATAGATAGATAGACAGTGAAAAAGAGAGTGATAGTAAACCAATTAGTTTTAAAATTAGGTTCGATTTTTGTTAATTAAGTTGGTTAGTTAGCTAACTTGGGGAATTATTTGTGATTATGTAGTCACATTATAATGTTAGGCATTGATACAAATATTAACGTTAATTTATAAAAAATAATTAAGAGAAACATGAAATGTGAAGCATTTTCTCTCGTTAAAATGCAACTCAAAAAATTAAAAAAAATTTTTTCGTTGTCATCATCCTAAAATGAAAAATCAAAAGGGACTAAGCAGACAACTTTTTGAAAAGAGAAACTGAAAAAAAAATAATAATGAAAAAAATAAATAAATAAAAATAAGATCTCCACATAGATATACTGTGATGAAAAATTTCAAACTATAACATTCTGAAACATGCTATGCTATGTTAACCATTAAAAAAAACACATTACATGCATTCGTACACACATACATATGTACACACACACACACACACACACACACACACACACACACACACACACACACACACACATACTTATATATATACATACATATATACATACATACATACATACTTTAGACATATATATATACATAAATGGATGCTATATACATGAAGCATTTGTTCTGGTAAGAAACTATTTTTTTAATTTCTAAAGAAAATAATTGAAATAAATTAAAGAAATGATTCTCTTTCATTCATTTCAAGGCCTGGTCAGCTAACAGTTGCTATGGAGAAAAAAAAATTGAAAAATAAAATGATTTAAAATAATTAAAAAAAACGTAAAAATGTAATCAAAATAATCTGTACTGTGAATAAATAAATGTGTGTCTGTATGTTTGTGTCTGTTGTCTGTGTGTGTGTCTGTCTGTTTCTATGTGTGTGTTTCTATGTGTGGGTGTGTCTGTGTGTGTGTAGACAGAATAAAAATCATATAAACAACAAATAAGAGTAACATTATACAACAACAACAACTACAAAACGGGGCTAAACAACACAAAAACACTGGATAAAAAACAAAGAAATGTATAGAACTAACACACACACAAACATCAACAACAACTAAAACTACAGCAACTACAACGGCAGCAGCAAAAGCAGCCACATTATCAACAACAACATCATCGTTCTCATCCAAAATTGTGTACATCTCTCTCTCTCTCTCTCTCTCTCTCTCTCTCTCTCTCTCTCTCTCTCTCTTTCTCCCTCTCTATAAACATATATATCTAAAGCTTAGGATTCCAACACATTCACATCTATTGTATCTATGTACACAGAAAATTTCGTATATACAAGGTGACTATTTCTCTAAAAACAGAAGAATAATAAAAATAATAATAGCAATAATAATAGCAATAGTAATAATAATAACAATGATATCTTACATCCAGTGATTCCTTTCAAAGGAGTCAGCATTTTGTTTATTGGAAATATATTCACTTCATATATTAAAATGGTATAATAAAAAAAAACATATTATAAAGAATATAACAACATAAGGCACACACACAAACACACACATACAAACACACATACAAACACAAACACACATACACACACAAACAAACACACATAAAAACACACACACAAACGCGCAGTCACACAAAAAATAATTCTCACCAATAGTAGGCCACAACTATCATCATTTTGAATCAACTGCCAAATATTCTGCCTGCCACTAGAAGGATGGTCGTGTGGTACATCAGATGACGACGACGACGACGATGTATGATGATGATGTTGTTGCTGATGTTGTTGTTGTTGCTGTTGTTCTAAAGAATCTTTCTTCAGAATGTTGTACAACTTTCTCAACTACATTCAACAACGACAACAACAATTTACTATTGCTAATGTGAGAATGTTTTGAGGAAAAAAAATTTTTGTTGGCAAATGTTTGGCAATGTGAGCCGATAGAACACGTTTTATATACACATGAGAGATTAAAGTTTGCTTCAGAAAGTTATCACACAATCGAAAGGGCAAACACAAATTCATCTATTATAGCTTTCAAAACATTATCACGGCATAAACAACATAAACAAAAGACAAAATCAAACAGTCATAAATTACCCAAAAAACTTTCAAACTTCCTTTCAACACCTTACAACAGACAGAAAAACACCTGGCAACACCAACACCTAGCACAAATAGCTTTGGCCAGCTAAAGAAAATTTATCAACGCTACTAAAATAACCTTGAAACTTTACACACACGCACACACACACGCACGCACATAAACATACATACATACACTCATATGCACATGTATTAGTTTATATTAGTATAAATATATATCTCTATATATATATATTTAAAAAAATAAAAGATTTAAATAACAATAGGAAAAAAATTGATATTAAAATGAAGACCTTGTGTATATAGAGACAACAGTCAGAAATATTTTTCAAGCATTTGATTAATAGAAATATAATTGATGACTAAGCCAAAGAGAAAGCCACACACATGAAAATGTATGTGAGTGATTAATTTGTTAGCACCTGCAAGCAAGCCAAAATTTAATTACAGCATACATACGTCAGAAGCGATACTCATATAAAAAAACATACATACATACACACACACACATATACATACATTCATATATACATACATATATATATACATTTTTTCGGCAAGACACACACACACCTACAACTGATGAAAATCTCAAAAAAAATCATCAAACACAGAAACATCATCCTTATAGAGTGTACAATAACTACATTAGTTATTAAAATCTTAAGCTTTAACAATTAAAATCATACATAAGATGGTGTTAGAAACTGAACAAGCACACATGCAACCGCTAAACGCATCTACGTGTTTGTGCGTGTGCGTGTGTGTTTGTGCGTGCAACAAACCCAATAAAATTAACTCTCTGTGAGACAGCAATGACAGAGCGTGAATAAAAAAGCACACAAAACTTAAATGTTAAATGATGTCAAATGTTAGTAAGAAAAAAAAACCTACTAAAAGGCTTAAATATCAAGTGATTAGTATCTAACCAATGTAAATAAAGAAAAAAAAAGAATGCAATGAGAGAAATAAAGAGAGAGAGAGAGAGAGAGAGAGAGAGAGAGAGAGAGAGAGAGAAAGAGAGAGAAAGAAAGAGAGAGAGGGAGAAAAAGAGTGGGGGTCATGTAAATATATTGAAACATTGTATCTTGAAAGCTTAATTAGAAGCCTAAGTGAGTTAGTATGATATAGAATTATTGTCATCATTAATTTGTTGTTAACTAGATAGGGTAGATGATAGGCAGCTTGGGAGGTATTTAATTTTAAACTCTATATTAATATCATTAATCCTTATTTAAATCAAATGTTTCATGAATCATATTTAGATATCTGCTATCTATATTTACTTTCCCGTGAATCTGTTGACATTTTGGGATAATTTTTGCTCAATAAATTAACAAAGAATGTGTTAATGTATTACATTTTCATAGTATATATGAATGAATGAATGAGTGAATGAATGAATGATCGAATGAGTGAATGAATTAATGAGTGAATGAATTAATGAGTGAATGAATTAATGAATGAATGAGTAAATGAATGAATAAATTAATTAGAGAATGAATGAACGAACAAACAAACAAATGAATAAACAAACAAACAAATGAATAAACAAACAAACAAATGAATAAACAAACAACCAAATGAATAAACAAACAACCAAATTGAAAAATGAATGAAATATAACGAAAATGAAACAGAGACAAACGAAATGAAAATATGTAAAGAAAAAAAAGAGGACATACTGCAAAAACAATCCCATCAACTGACTCCTGTAGAATGTCCCATATGTTTAACCTGCCGCGCTTAACCAACTACAAAAAATTATCATAGTAATTTTAAAAATGAATATTTAAATAAATTTCCTATTAAATGATAAATAAATTAAAAAGTATTAACATAATTACCACAAAAACCATAAAAATAAAACAAACAAACAAACGAACGAGCAAACGAACAAAGGAACGAACGAACAAACGAATGAACGAACAAAACATTTATCCTCATTGGAGTGAACAAAAATGTTATACTATATTAAAAAACAAAAAATATTTCCTAAAAGAGAATTCTCGTATAAAAAAACCTCATAACCCATTATTATATATACATGTGTGTGTGTGTGTGTGCGTTTGTATGTATGTGTAGGT